GTTTCCTTTGAGAGCTTGTGCCGTTCTGCATATTTCCTGTGATGAGAAATCTCTGCCCCTTGAGTGTTAATTTGATTTTTGGATAAGATATGTGACCTCAATGAGATTTATTTTTTATTTGTAAAGTAACAAGAAAAGCAGTATCTAGACCAGGGGTGGGCAAACTTTTTGACTCGAGGGCCACAATGGGTTCTTAAACTGGACCGGAGGGCCGGAACAAAAGCATGGATGGAGTGTTTGTGTGAACTAATATAAATTCAAAGTAAACATCATTACATAAAAGGGTATGGTCTTTTTTTTTTTTAGTTTTATTCATTTCAAACGGGCGGGATCCGGCCCGCGGGCCTTAGTTTGCCCACGGCTGATCTAGACGCAAGTTCCAGAGAATTGGGCAATGGCAGTGATGTCATTTTAGTAATAAAAAAATGTCTATTGAGTGCTTAATAGATGTACAACAGTGGGCTAAGTGTTTACATCTTCTTGCTCATTTAGTCTTCACAACAACTTCCTGAAATAGAAAATATCTTCTGTATTTTACAGATAAGGAAACTATAAGGAATTTGCCAAAGATTACAGGTTAGGAGCTGGCAGAGCCAGGATTTGGGCTCCAGTAGTGACATTAATAAACTCATTCTGAAGACTAATAGTTAAAGGTTGTATAAATTCTTACTGGTTAAATAATCTATCACCTTATAATCATACCTCCACACCCTACTCTCCTGTTTTGTTTTGTTTTTAAATATATTTTTATTGATTTCAGAGAGGAAGGGAGAAGGAGAGAGAGAGAAATTGATAGGCTGTCTCCTGCACACCCCACACTGGGGATCGAGCCTGAAACCCAGGCATGTGTCCTGACCCCGAATCAAACCATGACCTCCTGGTTCATAGGTCGACACTCAACCACTGAGCTACACCAGCCAGGCTCTATTGTACTGTTTTAAATACTAAGAATGTATAGTGCTTTGTAAACATTACTAGCTTTCTAAGAAAAACTGATATACTTTTTTTTAAAAAAAGAAAGAAAAACTTATATACTTTAAATACGGTCACAGATTTCCAAGTAAACAGGAATGTAGGAAATGTTTTTCTTTCCAAGGATAAAGGAAAGTTGTATCCACCCCACCAGTGAGTTGGTGTATCTCTTGACTTTCTAAGGGTCTGAAGTCTGGAACTCCTTTTATCCTACCCACTACCTGAACTCGGGCCATTTGGAGAGAAGTGGAGACTAGTGCATAGCAGGTGCTCAGAATAGTTTATAACCCACGAGAAGGATGGGAAAGGAGAGAGATGGTGCCTCCGAGGGTGCCTCTAACTTCTATTTCTGGGGAGCCCTGTCCAGATCAGAGCCAAATGGGGCCAGATGGCAGTCAGTAGGCAGCAGGGGTGGGTGGGAAGCTCCAGGTCCCATGAGACCTCTGGAGTGCATAGCTCCAATAGGCGCCCCTGGAAGCAGTTTCTTAGATTTTGGACTGTCCTTCAGTGACTCCCAGATCAGGCAGCTTCCTTCTGGCAGACACAGAAGGCAGTCAGTGTGCAGGCAAGGAACTCCTGCCCAAGGACCACAGAGCCTCAGGAGCTGGGGGGAGGGGCAGATTCAAGGCACAAGAGCGGCTCTCTGTGGAGAGGGTCTTAAAAGCCACTGTGGTGCTTGAGGTTTTCTGTAGGAAATTAGTGAAGGGTGGTGCAAACAGCATTGAGATGAGGGGGTAGACAGAGAGGAGAGTTTCTGTCCCTGCCCCTACCTGGGCAAGTCAAAATTCTAGGGGTCTAGTATGGAAGGCTTTAGAGAGCCGTAATGGAGTGCAGAGTTAAGTCCTGGAGCCCCATTACTAGCTGTGAGACCGTGGCTAAGCTACTTAACCTTTCCCTACCTTGGTTTCTTCATTTGTCAGCCGAGGATGATAATAGTACTTCCCTGGGGGGTGGTGAGGATTCACTGAGTCTCATGTGTAAAACACTCAGCACTGGGCCTGGCACTTACAGGAAGTGGTCCACAAGTCTGTTACAGTTTTGCCCTTCCCTGTCCCCAGTTGTACAGAGAACACACCTTTCTTCTGAGCCAGCAAGTATTGAGCTCCTCTGTGCCATGCACTGCAAAGTGACACATGTATTCTCACTTAATGAAAGAGATAGGCACCATTATTTTCCTCATTTTGCAGACAAATTGAAGATAAGGAGTACATTGAGAGTAAAAGCTAGGCCTGTCTGCTTCCATAGCTTCATATTTTCATGTTCCAGTTATGTTTGAGTGGTACATGACTCAGCTAGGGAGAGGGAAGTGTCGGGAATCCAGACGTCACCTTAGCAAAAGGTTGTGAATGTGAATGTAGGATTGGCTTCTTAACAAGCCGCTTGTTTCCTTTAGTGGGCAGTGAGGCAGCTGCTCATTAAATGAGAAACAGGGCCAGTACTGGCCTTGGGGCTTTATTATGGTGCAAGGCCAGGGAGAAGGCATGGAAAAAAGGCCAAACAGTTGTTCAGTACCCCACAAGCTGGCCTTGCCTACATCAAGCCTGATTTGCTTAAAGCCCTCTGGAATGGATATTAGTATTCCTATTTAATAGACAGATGAAATAGCCTCAGAGAGGTCATGTGACTTGTTAAGTCACCTAAACACTTTAATCCCCCTTCTTGTCTATTAACTGTTAGGAAGCCATTTCTGGAGTGGCTTCTGATCCCAAATCAGGATCTGAGCCCCAAAGAGAAGCCTCAGATTGAAGTGGTTAAACAAAGGGATGGTGTAGTGGGGAGACCCCCAATTGTGGGATTGTGGCAGGCAGGTTGCCTGAGGACCAAGTGCCAGTGCAGGTGGGGATAAGGCTGGAAGAGGCACCTGCTAGGAGTCACCCTGGAGGCCTGCATCCTTGCTCCCCCAGGTGCCCTGGGCACATTAGAGTCCAGCCTGGGCACACAGGCTCCTGTCTACTTCATAGCATTCCCTGTGGGCAGCTCTGGCTCCCATGGGGCAAAGCCAAAGCTGCCAATCTTAGGGCCCCCAGTTGGGGTTCCCTGGTTAGGCTCCCACAAAGAATAGTGCAGGTCCTGTCCTTGCCCTCCCCCTGTTTTTGGTTGGGAGCGCACTGTCCTGACCAATGGCCTGCTGAGAACGCAAGACAGAAGTTCACAGAAGGTGGCATGAAGAATGGAAAGTGTTTGGGAGGAAAGATGGAGTAGAAGTTATTTTCGAAGATTGATGACGTCCAGCAAGGGAACCAAAATGGAGACTCAGGAATTAGGCTGGATTGCAAGCTGAGTGGGAAGACAGCTCCAATTGAGGTTACTGGGGCGTGCTTGCACAGAAGTTGTGGGGGCTAGGCAGGGAGTTGGGGAGTGGGGGATGCATGGTAGATAGGGGAGCGCTGTGGCAGGAAGACAGCCTGCTGCCTTACCCAGGCAGAGCCCTGTAGAGCAGAGCAGCCAGTGCAGGGTGCCCAGGCTGTCCCACTGCCCCCAAGGAAATGCGTTCCATTTCCCGCTGGTTCTCAGTTGTGCTGAACACCAGTGGGGTGAAGGATTACGAGTGGGAGGGTTCAAGGGTAGCCCCTCATCCTTTTCCCTCTCTCCCAATCTGGGGAGCCCTCTCCATAACTGTCCTGGCTCCTGAGGGTGGGGTAGGGAGGGGAGTGGGGTCAGGGATGGCTCTGCTGCTTTCCTTGAGGCATCTGTTCAGCGCATCCTGCCTCTAGGGCAGTGGTTCTCAACCATCTGGCCCTTTAAATACAGTTCCTCATGTTGTGACCCAACCATAAAATTATTTTCGTTGCTACTTCATAACTGTTATGTTGCTACTGTTATGAATCGTAATGTAAATATCTGATATGCAGGATGGTCTTAGAAGACCCCTGTGAAAGGGTCATTCGACCGCCAAAGGGGTCGCGACCCACAGGTTGAGAACCGCTGCTCTAGGGGAAGGAATAGGGAGGATTGTAGTCTTAGAGAAAGCCTGGGCTTTCCTCTTCCCAACTGCATGGTTAGGGCCCTATAGCTTCTACTGACAGAGGGTGACTCCCACTGGATGGATGGACCAGGGCTTGGGGTTGGATGATGTATATGCCAGGTCATATGGGAACAGTAGGGACACAGTGCCAGGTTCCCGCTTGACTCACTGCTTTCCATGATCTGTGACTCAGGTGGGGCCCAGCAACGCCCATTTATTGACACCAGCTCTGTGATAATCAGGGCGCAAGCATGTGCATGATGGCTGTTTCCTTTCTTCTGAAAAGGGAATGGGGAGCAGCTAGGAGACTGAGATCAGAATTCTTGCTCCACCTCTCCTAGCGGTGTGAGCCTGGGCAAGTACTTGCCTTCTCAGCACCGTGGTTTCCTTCTCTCCTGGGCTTGCAGGGCTATTGTGAGGCATCTGACACCCAGGGAACACCCGAAAGCACCCAGGAAATTTTCCCTTTCTGTGACTTCATAGAGTACTGTCACACGGTTCGGTGAGGTGGGGAGGGGTGCAGCTCTCTGGCTTCTTTGTTCCAGTCTAGACTCTAGACTGACCTTAGGGGCCTGGGAAGGGGGCTGGAAGAAGCCTGAGAGTGATACACACTCTTCCCCCACCTCTGCGGAGGGCCTCTTTCCTCCAGCCTTTCCAGCCCCAGGCAAATAGGCAGAGCCAGCGAAGTATTCTTCAGTGCCATATGGGAAATTTTATTTGTATACTCTCAAATTTTCCCGTCCAACCCTCCCATTCAGATGATTGTACGATTTCCATCCTCTGCTCACAATCTGGCTCCCATCCGAGGTCTACGCTACCTGTGAGCGAGATGTCGGTGTTAGGAGCTAAGAAGGCCTCTAGGAGGCGCTGCTGTCCAAGGAGAGGGCTTAGGCGCAGTGGTTCTCAACCTTCCTAATGCCGCGACCCTTTAATACAGTTCCTCATGTTGTGGTGACCCCCAATTTCATTGTTACAAATTGAACATAATTAAAGCATAGTGATTAATCACAAAAACAATATGTAATTATATATGTTTTTTCCGATGGTCTTAGGCGACCCCTGTGAAAGGGTCGTTTGACCCCCAAAGGGGTCGCGACCCATAGGTTGAGAACCACTGACTTAGGGACTGGACACTGAAATATCTGGCAGGTTGGAGATGTGGGTTTTGTGAAGGGGAAGCTTCCCTTTCCACTGGACTCCCAAGCCCATCACCCCCTTCCTTTCTTGGGACCTGATTCTCTCTTGGAGGGGCTGGAGTATTCTTTTTCGTGCTAAGGAACTTTTTCAGAGTACATCTTTTTTGAAACATGGATAAATAAAACAAATGGAGAGTTCATTTGGTCTGAGTGTGGCAGAGCCCTACTTGACCACATCACCTTCCCCCACATTTAGGAATTCCTAAACTGCTTACTCAGACTTCTGTGAGATTCCGAGTCATAGCAGTTTGGCCCCTCCTGAGGCCTCTCCTTCCCTAGAGCCCTAGTTGGATCCTGAGAGGCTCCAGCCTAGCCACTAGGCTGGTGTATGGTCTTGGTCAATGGTTTGCCCCTCTCTGAGCTTCCCTTTCTAGTCATAAAGGTGGGGCCTCCCAGCACTGCCAGCAACAGCCCCTAAGACTGTATTCAGGGGCCCAGCTCTGGGCCTGGCTTGAGGCCTACATCTCACCCTGGCCTGGCAGTGACATCATCACACCCTGTATGGATGGCATTTCGGCAGCCCAAGTGATGCAGAGCAGAAGCGGGTGCAACAGCGCTTGACCAAGCGCATGGTGGATGGCCTGCACATCACCCGGGGTCCTGGGAGGTGGATTCGCCTGGGCAACCCCTCAAACCAGTTCCACTGGTCAGCTGCTTTCAGCTGCTCCGCGTCCCCTCGGTGGGGCTTCAGGAAGATGACTCCAGGGTCTCCAGTGGGTAGTTGCCTCCCCCAGGCTCCAGGGCAAGTGATCGATGTCTTTGGGACCTCAGGCTCCACTTGTTGTTCTCCCTCTGGCACTGCTGCAGGTGACTGCTGGACCTTTTTCTTCTCTGGCACCCTCACCTTGGACTTCAGTTTCTTAGGCTTCCCTAAGTTCTTGGACTCCAGTTTCTTCTTGGAGCACTTAGCTTCTTGGAGTCCATTATTCTGGCCCATTTTAGTGCAGACAGTGTTGTTCCTGGCAAGGAGAGGAACAGCAGTCAGTAGAGCAGGACTAAGGCCTGGTTCTCTTGCCTGTCCCCAAGGCAGCTGCTGTGCAGCCAGCTCAGGGGAGCCTGTGAAGAAAGCTGGGGAGGGCCTGGAAAGGAACTTCTCTACCACCCGGAGGCCTTGCACCTCGGGGCAGGGGATGTGGTACCTATCAGCAGCAGGGATGTGAGAGGTTGGGAAGGCAAAAGGCAATGACTAATAGGTTGGACACCTGGGAATATTGATAGTCTGCATCGGCCACTAGGTTAGGGCTCTGCCTGTCTGGATTTCACTTGATGGGGTGAACTAGTCCAATGTTTTGTTTTGTTTTTCAGATTGTGTTCTAAGAAACCCGAGGGTTCTGAGGAATTCCCCCTGTATCCCCTAATGGCCGGGTAAAGGCAGGAGACCTTCCCTCACAACAACACAATTGGGGCTTGGGGACAGATTTTGAAGAGAGGTTCTGCTGCTTTAAAAGTCTTGGAAAACAATGGGACTAGATGACCCTGACCCTCCGGCTCAGTGTTTCCTGATTACCTGCATCTAGGAAGCCAACTTAGAGAGAGGAGCCCAGAGAGGTGGAGTTATCCAGAGGTATTAAATGCTGGCAGGGATGTGTCTGTCATAGATTGGGTCCCCTGCAAAGCGGCAGCACCGCCCTGAGTGTGTGCAGAGGGGCGAGGCCTTGGGCTCAAGGTAATGACAATACTGATGATGATAATGGCCATTGTTGGTTGAGTGCCCATGTGTGAGGCCTGCACAGTGGGAGGCAGTGAAGCAGCAGAGTGGCTTGGAGAGCACAGGCTTTTGGAACACAAGCTGGGATCAAATTCGCTTCTGCCTCTTACCATCTATGTGATGAGGCAAGAAATGTAACCTGTCAGAACCTTAATTTCCTCATCTGTAACAGTGGGATAACTGTCTACCCATAGAATTGTTGTGAAGAATAAACTAAATGGGAAAATGCTTGTAAAGTACTTAGCATAGTACCTGGCACTTATCAGGTGACTAAAAAAATGGAAGATTTCTTAATATTCTGATGCAACTGATGAGGAAACAGCCCCAGCAGGATGTCTAGTCTACAGGTGAATGTCAGGGCTGTGTTGACCTGAGAGGGGGAGCAGGAGAGGTGCCCATCGTGCTCAGTACCCCAGGTGGTAGTTAGTCCCATAATTGCATGATTATGACCATGGTTATGATCACAGCTCTGATGATAGACAAGAATGGCTTCAAATTCTAGCTCTGCCACTAGGTCGGATAACTGGGACAAGTCGCTTCATCTCCTGAGCCTCAGCTTTTTATTAGTAAAATAGAGGTCATAAATACCTTTCTCCCAGAGCCTTTGTGAAAATTGGGTTTTCTAAATTCCTTAGCACAGTGTCTGTTCCTAGCAAAGATAGCTGTTAGGTCCATGTGGGGCCGTGGGTGGACTGAGCTCACCTGGAGGAGATCGGGAGGACCTTCCGAACGTTGAGCAGTGAATTCCAACACCTTCTGGCCAGGCTATATAGTTCTTGGATCCGAGGGTTTGAATTCTTGAGTAGCCTCAAGAGTGACAAGTTTTTTAACACCTGCCAGAGTTGAGAAACCAGAAAAACAGATGTTTCACTCCCCATCCAGACTTTGGCTCAACTCAGCCTGGAGACCCTGGAGAAGCAGTACTGCATGGGTGCCCAGGCTCTCCTCTGCTGGGACCAAAATGGGCCTCTTACCATCCTAAGTCGGTTCCGCTCAGTTAATTTGCTGATAGGCTGCTGTATCTTGTCCTGTGGTTCCTCATCTTGCATCTGAGAGAGAGAGAGGGAACGCTAACACGGAAAAAACCCCACCCCTAAATGCCTCCATTATACCTCTCCATTTGGTTCAGCATGATCTGACTAACCCCAGACTGAAAGTGTCACCTCTTTGGGGGCAGAACAAGGGAGACCATTCTAACTCTTGACCTCCCTTCACCCCTCAGCGCTCCCTTTCCCTCCATCTGCCCTGGTATGGTTGGACTCTTTGTAAGGCCCCTTCTAGATCCAGTCCCTAGTCCAACCTTGAAAACCACACTATTCTGGGGCCTCTTCTTTGCTGATGGACTCATACTGGGGCTGTGATGCCTCAAAGACGACAGATGGAGCAAGACTGGTACCAGGTACTGCCTGAACCCTGCCCCTCTCAGTTCAGCCAGTACCCAGGCTGGGCATTAGGATGGTCGTGCTGTATCTCCCAGGGAGGGGAGCTGTGACATCACTGAAATGTGTGACAACAGGGCTGGGTCTCCAAGGAGTGTGTGTGGCAGGGGTGAGGGTGAGGAAGAAACGCTCACCTGCAGAGAAACCTGGTAGGTGACAGGCAGAGGCGTATATTGTTACCACCTTCCTGTGAGGTAAGAGAATTATCCCCTCTTTTTAAATAAAAAAGCCAAGGTTCAAAGAGGCTAAATAATTTACTCAAGGTCATACAGTTGGATAAAGGTGGAGCTGGAAACCTAAGGTCTGACATGAAATCAGGGGTTCCCAACTATGCTCCTCTATTCATTCATGTCACATGTGTTAACTGTACCCTGGCTACATGTCAGGTGTTCTAAGTACTGGAATAAAAGAAAATTCCTACCCTTAAGGAACTGACATTTCAGTAGAGGGCAAACAAAACAGTGTGTGTATCTGTAAGTGTTCAATCATTGGCTCTCTAAAACAAAGTGAGTGTGTGTTGGTGTGTGTTACAAATTTTACTGATAGACATCTACAATAATGAAATTTGACAATACTTTTTATTGTAAATTCCATATAGCCAGTTGATTCTTACAGTACACTTTTCTTGACTTATGCTTAACTCTTGTATCCATAACCAACCTATGGTTATAGTGGATGAACAATTGTAGTTCCAGCACGAATGTTGGTGTTTTCATTTACACTAGGAGTATGAAAAGTGAAAAAATGAAAGAACCACGATGTTGGAATTCTACCCAATCATCAATGACATGATCAACTAATTTGCTGTATTGAATTATAGTTTTCATGTACTGGAGGTATATTTTCTCATTTTGGGGTGTGTGCGTGTGTCTATTTCCATGTAACAGCTATAGACAGGACATGTTTATATTGAATCTGCATTATCAACATCTGCATTACTTTCTTAAGGCTAGACCAGGGGTCGGGAAATTTCTTCTGTAAAGGCCATATAGTTGCAACTGCTCAGCTCTGCTATTGTAATGTGAAAGCAGCCATAGATAATATGTAAATGAGTGGGCATAGCTGTGTTGCAATAAAACTTTACTTACAAAAGTAGTTGATGAGTTGGATTTGGCCCATGCAAACTTCTGGTCTAGACATCAACAAAACAATCAAACCTGATTTATCATGTTACCTATGTCTGTGGTGTAAATACGCCTTCCACCACTGATTTTAAGCTACCAATGTGATGTCACTGAAAGCAGAGTTGAACAGAAGTGAAGAATACCATACCATTATATGTTACATATTTCTACAGATGTAAAGACTCTCAAGAACATAGATAATAGTAAAAGGCAGTAAAAAACTAGAAAGTGATGAGTTTAAGCATTTTCATCTTTGCTTTTAATATAATTAATTAAGCCTGTATAATTTAATTTTTAATAATGGCTATGTTTAACAACCAGCCAGCAGAGTTCCTGAAAATGTAATAGGCTTTTGCGAACCCTAATGAGTCAGTTCCAGCACACCACTATTCTGTCAGACGGAAATAAGTGTGTGGAGAAAATTAAACAGGGCAGAGGGGATAGGAGAGCAAAGGTAGAAGGTTTGCTTTATTAAAAGGGTGGAATGGGAAAGATTCACCAACAAGATGAGATTTGTGAAGAGACCTGAGGGAGGTAAGGGAAGCGGAAAGTGGCAGTGGCAGGAGATGAGGGCAGAGGGGGAGCTGTGGTGAAGGGTTGGGACAGATCATAGGAGACTTTAATTTAAACTCTGGCTGCTTTGAATAATCTGCCTGGCTGGCTGCATCAGAATAGTCAGCTTCTCAGGTACCACCCATAGAGTTGGCCAATCTGATACCCATCCAAGTATGGGAATCACTTCACAGCTTCTAGGGCAGAGAGGTGTGCACGCATAGGGAGTGCTTAGCTCCACCTTTTAGTAACAATGAACCAAGACTAGATTGCAGACAGCTTCTTACTGAGGCAAGGTGGTTGGATTCGGCACTGGGAGCCTGGTCCAGATGCCTCTGCCATTATGTTCTAGTCCATACTTTTTACCCCTCACATGCTTCTCTCTCTGCAGCTGTGCCTACTTAGGGAGTTCATCTCCATGGGGTCAGGGAGTTCTCTACCACCAGACTTTGTACCCCAGAAATGGCTCCCAAAGCCATTTTCCATATTCCATCGTTTATTCCTTCCATTGACATGGGAAAAACCATTTGTGCAGAGAGAGACGTATCCAGTGACACACAGCTGGCAAGCCTGTAGACCAGGGGTGGGCAAACTTTTTGACTCGAGGGCCACAATGGGTTCTTAAACTGGACCGGAGGGCCGGAACAAAAGCATGGATGGAGTGTTTGTGTGAACTAATATAAATTCAAAGTAAACATCATTACATAAAAGGGTACGGTCTTTTTTTTTTTTTAGTTTTATTCATTTCAAACGGGCCGAATCCGGCCCGCGGGCCGTAGTTTGCCCACGGCTGCTGTAGACTAACTCCAAGGCTCTTGAGTGGAAAAGCACCACTGTTTTTTCCCCCCTTCGTTGTGGTTAAGTCATGTTAAGTACATTCACATTGTTGTGCAACCATCACCACAATCCATCTCCAGAACTCTCTTCATCTTCAAAACTGACAATACCTAGTAAACAACTGTCCATTTTTTCCCTTCCCCAGCCACTGCAAACACCCTTCTAATTTCTCTCTCTATGAATTTGACTTTTAGGTACCTATGTAAGTGGAATTATACAATATTTGTCCTTTTGTGACTGGCTTGTTTCACTTAGCATAATGTCTTCAAGGTTCATCTATGTTATAGCATAGGCTAGAATTCCCTTACTTTTGTAAAAACCGATTTGAGAGAGAGAGAAATATCAATTGGTTGCCTTCTGTTTTTGTGGATATGAAGAGAGAGAGAGAGAGAGAAGAAAATAAAAAAGAAAAGAAAAGAAACATGGATGTGAGAGAAACATCAATTGGTTGCTTTCGGTACCTGTCCTGACTGGGATCAAACCCACAACCCATGCATGTGCCCTGACCTGGAGTCATACCTGCAACCTCTTGGTGCATGGGATGAAGCTGCAACCAACTGAGCCACTGCAGCCAGGCACACCTATAATTTCCTTAGAGGTCTTTTACCTGACTGAATAGTACCCTGAAGCATTGCCTTAAATCTTTCTGCAATGTAAACAAAAGGTTTTATAGTCACATTCTCAGTTTCATTTTGGACCATGTTTTCTTGTTTATTCGTTTTTTGCATTGTCCTGGATTTGAGCTTTGGAAGAAAACCATTTCTTAATTTTACCATCATTTCATAATTTTGCCATTTGGAGAGCTTGAGAATTTTCTGCCATGAAGTCCTGGCTCTTTTATACGTAACAGTCCTTTCTTTTATTTAGTTCAGGGTTTCCCAACCTCAGCACTGTTGACATTTGGGGCCGGACAATTCTTAGATGTGGGAAGAGGGTTTGTCTTGTGCATTGCAGAATATTTAAGTATCCCTGGCCTCCACGAAATAGAAGCCAGTAGCAACCTCCAGTTTTGACAAGCAAAAATGTCTTCAGACATCGCCCAATGTCCCCCAGGAGGCAACATTGCTCTCATTTGAGAACTGCTTTCATTTCTCGTCTCCAGTTGCATTTACTCTAAGCAGCAAGAAGAGTTCAGGTGGCATCTTCAGCACCTTCCTTGGAAATATCCTTAGCTAGATCACTCAACTCATTAGATACATTTTCTGCTTTCCACTTTACTGCAACAGGGCTGCTACACTTTATGCCACAACATAAGAATTCTTCCCCAGTTTCCAATAGTATTTATTTCACTTTCCTTTATGCCCTGACTGCAACCATATCAAAGGACTGAGGCCTCTAGTAACAGCTTTTTCAAGGCACTTTAGGTCTTTATTATACTCTTCTCAAAGTCTATTGCCCAGTTCTAATGTCATTCCCATACTTTAGAGCAGCGGTCGCCAACCTTTCGGACCTCACGGACCACCAGTTGGCGACTGCTGCTTTAGAGTGCTGTGACAGCAGCCCTCTACCCCAGGGCCCAAATCTCTATGTTATCTATTGCTACACAGCAAATTATCCCAAAAGTCAGCAGTTTAGAACAAGAAATATTTATGACCTCTAAGGTTTGGCGCATCAGGACTCCTGGGACTGCTCTAGCTCAGTGGTTCTCAACCTTCCTTAGATGTGGGAAGAGGGTTTGTCTTGTGCATTGCAGAATATTTAAGTATCCCTGGCCTCCACGAAATAGAAGCCAGTAGCAACCTCCAGTTTTGACAAGCAAAAATGTCTTCAGACATCGCCCAATGTCCCCCAGGAGGCAACATTGCTCTCATTTGAGAACTGCTTTCATTTCTCTGTCTCCAGTTGCATTTGCCACGACCCTTTAATACAGTTCCTCATGTTGTGGTGACCCCCAATTTCATTGTGACAAATTGAACATAATTAAAGCATAGTGATTAATCACAAAAACAATATGTAATTATGTATGTGTTTTCCGATGGTCTTAGGCGACCCCTGTGAAAGGGTTGTTTGACCCCCAAAGGGGTCTCAACCCACAGGTTGAGAACCGCTGCTCTAGCTGAATGCTCAACCTGTTTCTCACGAGGTTGTAGTCAAGCTGCTGGCCAGGGCTGCATCATCTCAGGCTCTATGAGGCCGATGAACCTGTTCCCATGTTCACTCATGTGGTTGCTGGCAGGCCTCTGTTCTCCTCTGGCTGTCGGCTGGAATCTTCAGTTCCTTGCCAGGTTGGCCTCTTTGTGGGGCTGTTGACAACATAGTAGCTTGTTTCCCTGAGTGAGTGATCCAAGCATAGACCCAAGATGGAAGCAGTGTTCTTTTTTTTTAAATTTTTAATCTTAAATTTGGAAGAGGTATAGACCATCATTTCTGCCGTGTCTTATTGGTCGCATA